GCCGGATATTTTTCGATTGGTTCACTAGATCCATTTTTCACAATAAAGGTCTACATTAACAGTTTTTCCAGGTTGCAGAAATTCAAAATGAACAATTCCGCGAATACTCCACCAAACACCCAGAAGCGCCTTTTCGGGATGTAAACCCTTTGTAATCCCTATTAAAACTGCCTTTTGAGTTTTGCCTTTTGAGTCTGCCTTTTGAGTTTTCATATAGGACTTATTTTTCTGTCTCTTCTAATCAAACGATTAAAAAACGGTTCTGTATGGTGACGATGAAGCAATACATTGCATGTGATGGATAGGTTGGCTTTGTTCTTTTCGGACAGATTATGGGGGACTCAAACATCTGCTTTGCTTATTTTTCCATTCTACTTTAAATGTTCTCGGATGGTCGACCAAGGTTGGTTAAAAGTGTTTGACAGTTCCTCGATTGTTTGACATGAATTGCTTCCACTTCTGCCCTTAGCATGTTGTTGTCTAACGTTGTTGTCGACATGCGCAGAAACGACATTACTTTCCGGTCCCTCTATTATATAGATGAGATCAAGCGTAGTTGATAGAATTATTTATTTTTGGCATAACATTTCTGATGTAAATATGTATAATTAAACTGACGCAAGAGACGCATCCGTAACTCGTTTTTTTTTTTTTTTTTTTTTTTTTTTTTGCTGGTCCTTATTCTAAAGCTATTTTCGTCCAACCTCTGATTTTAAAGAAAACTGTGCTATCAATCACTCCTCATTTGACTAATTTGGCACTATTTTCCTTGTCAAATCACAGTGTGATTTCTAGGACACCGGACAGCGTGGGACTACACCTGCGTGTCTATCAAAGATGAAGGAAAAGCACTAGCGTTCCCGTATTCCGTTACCTGTCGCGTTGCCTATTCGTTGAAGCGAAATCACACTTTAAAAAGACATTATTTTGACAATATCGCAAAAATTCAGAAAAATTTCAACAATAAAATGAAAAAGAATTCCAATATTTAGGTTAAACTAAAGCATCCAAAGAATAGCAAGCAGGGTACAGTTTCTTTCCGCTGTATTTAAAAAGCAGAAAACAATGGGAAAACCGGAAAAATGAAAATGGTGAATTCAAATAGCGTTTTAAAGAGATTCAAACTATAAACTAAAAAAACATTAGAAAGATAGAAAGAGTAAAACGCTGCAATCAGTGAATTATACCAAACCTGACATTCACCTATACTGCACTTTCCCTCCCCCCAATAAAACACCTACTCCATCAAACTACTAAAAATAGAGGCAAAAATTAGAATCATTTTTTACTTATAGCTTACTAATGCAGTTTATCTTTATTTAAAAAAAATATTATTTCTAGAATAAAATAAAGAAAGAAAACTGAAAGAATTCATAATTTAACGTCGCACTAGAGAATATTTTAAGTCTTTTATGCTCTCGTTGAGAATCACAGATTACCAATCTGTTCGGACTCACTCCTGCTAATACATTTTTTTGTCTTTTTAGCTTTATTATTAAGCATATCTTTCTTCACACTTACGCCACATATAGTTCAAGAATGTCATCATAAAATGTATAAAAACAATTCATATTTAGAATTCTCCATAAAGTGTTAGAGGGTTGCGATATTTTTTTTTTTTTTTTTTTTTTAAATTTTACTACATTATTTCTTTGGAAACTGGCCGTTCGAAGACCAGCCGCCTAAAACAGTTATCGTATAAAAGAAAAAAAATATGATTTTAATGATTCTAGCTAATGTCCTTTTATAAAAATGCGTAATATTCTAATTAGACATCTTGTGATTTAAATGTATTTTTATTAAAATCAATCAGATTAAAAAGTAAAAAGAAATGTTTTTAAGAACTGCGTTGATTGATTTTCCATCAGTTGGTTTCTTACACTGCTTTCAAATAGCGAATTTCTGGATTAAAATTGAAAGATTATAGTTTGCCGAACGGCAACGCCCAGGAGATATAAAAGGATCAAGAAGGATTGCAGCTTCTAGCTTTCAGATCGCTAAGTTTGTTAAACAAAAAATCTTTAAATTTGTACAAAATATGAAATTTAAAAAAAAAAAAAAAAAAATTCGAAATTCAGAATTCGGGCTTCGAGGTGGCAGTGTTCGGGTAAAGGACTACCGTGTGTTCAAAATTCGGTGGCTCTAGGTGCTGTAGTTTTTCCACAGGCGTCTGATGCTAACAAGTAATATTTTTGTTCCCTTCCCGAACCGTATTATGTCTCGTATAGTGAGTGTCTTATAAATTATCCATTGTGTCCCTCTTTTTTTAAACTCTGCACAAGACAATAGTATGTTTAAATGTAAACAAAAATAAGTACCACTGGTGAAGAGAAAATAATTTTATTTAACTTCGCAAATTAAAAAATGTATTTAAAATCAAATACTGCTGTTTGTGAAATTTCATGGTAACAAGGTAATATTTATTCACTTTCATCACTCTAGAAATTATTCTGAAGAGACTTTCAACCATAAAAATTCTGTAACAGCATAAGAAACTGAAAATCATGTAGCAACAAATACTAAATTATTTTTGTGAAGCTTATAACTAATTAATATAAGTATTTTATTATTATAAAAATATGTTTACTTTTCTTGGCAGCAAATATATGGAATTTTCATGTATAATTCTCTGAATATAAGCCCGGATATTCTTACTATGCAATAATAATAGCAGAAAAAAATGACATAGTATTTTAATACATATAATTCACTATGAGTATGTATAATTTCTTTTCAAAATTATTCAGCAGCAATTACAGATTTCAAATGACTGCAATTATTTAGCTCCATTTAATGTCATTTAAAAAATGAATAACAAAACAAATTGAAAATAGCCTTGTGTTAAGAAACATGATTTGTTTTTCAAAAATTAATGAAATATTTACATACATATTTACCTTTATTTACTGCTGGAATATTTCTTTAATCGCTTTTATAATGGAAGCAACAATTTCTTCTTTTAATCAATTTCATGGCATTCAAAATATACCGAAAATTTAGCATTTGTAACGCCAGATAATAATCGCTTTCGAATCTTCTTTCTCCGAATAATTCTTTTAAAAAGTAAAGCTCTAATTATTTTGCATTGTGTTAATTTTCAGAAAAAATCTATTCACATGTACCAACAACAATTTTAGTAAATGTTGGTTTATTAATTAAAGAACAGCACAAAATACCTTAAAAAATAACTAAACAACTAAATACAACTTTTAAAATATTCCATTGAGTTAACATTTAAAATTAATAAAATGTAAATTACAAAATTCTCCTTTCAAATTTTTTGTAGACGATAATTATTTAACGAATCAAACAGTAAGGTTACAAGAAAATAATCAAATGAAACAAGCGAGATTCCTATTTTATCATTATCATTGAATTGACCGTTTTCAAGTTCTTATGTATCGACGCCCATGAATTAACGATTCATATTTAATAAAAATTAAATCCATAACTTCGAAAACAAATCAGACAGCATTTTAATAGAATGCAAAATTAAATAAACACACGCACAGATATTCAGAATTTTCTGCCTATAGCCATAAGGGTAAAAGAGATATAAAATTGAAAAAAAACTTCATAATTTTCGACAGAATACTGCGAGAGAATATCTTATTACACATTACTTGTAAACACGACATTTGCACACATACTAATCATTTTTTATAAAAGTTCTTGTAAAATCTTGAATCTGGGTCGGAGTTTTGCTTATGAGTAAAATTTCATAAGCATTTAAAGGGGGAGGTATAAAAAATATTTCCAATTTTATTTTAATGCTTTTAGATTTAAAAGGAAAAACGAATTTTAAGAGATAATTTAAGCGATTACAAGGGATCTCTGCTTTGAAATATAACAGCTTTTAAATCTAATTATGAGAACCGTAATTTTACGATGTTTTCCCTTGAAAAGGAATTAGAACTCTTATTGCCACCTCCATTAATATAAATTGACAACTACAGCATACTGTGTAGTTAGTTCAATATTGAGTATTATTTTTTTGAAATACCAAAAATAAATGCACAGATGTTGCCTTTTTTATTCTCATGTCATTTTATTTTTCCGCATAATGCATTTAAATGTTTTCAATCACATATTCCACTTTTAAATGAGCTCTGTTTCTGCATTAATATATGATATAACATTACAATTTTCATCATGTTAGATATAAAAATCACAGGAAATTATTCATAATATTCCTTTCCTTCTGTTGTATATGTATATTTGAAAGATCATTAACAGTCATTTACATGATATGTAATCTACAGGTCAACAAAGTGATTAATTGCAATAAACACTAAAAATTCTTGTAACAAACGCAACGTATGTTCAGTCCTCCAAAAGAATGAGGCAAAGTATGATATTCTTCAGATATGAGTAGGATAAAGTAATAAAAAAGTGTCTTCCAAAACTGGTTTTGTAATACTGGACAGATAGTATTATTTCTCATGATGACTCAAATACTTAACAATGCATCGCAAATGAATATCAGATTGACTGTCTTTCGAACTAACTCATTCTGCTTTGGAGATTTCCTCAGTTAAGGCAATATATCAAAGGTTCTTCCAATTTTAGTTTATGATTATCATTAAGCAAGTGAAAATACAATTTAAAAGCCAAAGTGAGTGATAAGGTTCATAGGCAAATCATTACCCATCAAAAAAATAGCAAAAGAAATTTTCTTAATCAGCTTTCAATAACCATACAAATTTATGTATTCCAAAATACTGTGAAATGCCTTAATAACGAAATCTAATAATCGAATTACACTGTCAAAAGTATAAACCATTACCTTTACGAATTTATGAAATGCGTCGCACACCTTTATCATTTCTGATATAAATATATAGATAAATTTCTCAAAGAGGATTTTTTAATCTCTTGTTCCCATCAAACTATATGATAAATTATTTTTCTCATTTTAGCTCATTAAATATTTATGAGTTTTAAATAAAAGCTTATTTTATTAAAACATTTATTTATTACAGTTACTTAATTTCCATCATTTTAATCTTAATAACACATCATGAATCAAAATGTTTCAATAGAAAATTCGTTTTTCAACAATGAATAATCAATCACTCTTTTACTTCTAACAACTCTGTTACGTCAAATAGTCGAAAAAATTCAGAGATCCTGAAAAAAGAAGGAAAAAAAAATCTGAAAGGTTTCAGATTTTACATTGCGTCCCAAGGGGCATTTTTTTAACATTTTGTGTGTTACTTTATTTATTAAATATTATGTTCTTCGCACTTAAACCATAAAATTCAGTTAAACAGCAATATCCCAAAATAATTTTAAATTGAGCATATCTTTAGAATTTCCGATACACAGTCTCACGCACGGGAGATAAAAATGTTTTTTTTTTTTTTTCTATACAACGTTGCCATTACTCGCTTTGAAATCCTTGAGTTTGTTAATCAAAAATTCGTTAAAGTTTTACAAAATATGAAATCGATAATAAAACACATTCGAAATTTAAAATTTGGGCTTCCAGAAGGCCATATTCGCAGTAGGATTGCGTCATTCAAAATTGGATGGCTCTAGGTACCGTTGTTTTATCACAGTGCGAGAAACATACATACATACATAAAATGCAGATTCTTGATTATTTAATGCCGACCAGCAGCCGAACGGTAAAGTCGCTGAACACTGGTAGTTTGGTCCGAGATTCGAATCCCGTGAACGGGCTGGTTGCATGGGCGTTTTCGTGGTTTTCCACATGTGTAACGTGTATACGAGCCAATTTCCCTTAGAAAGACCTCCACGAAGGCATCCCTCCCCTTAGGCAAATAGCCCTAGTGTGCTCTGCCATAATTAAATACACAAACACCAATACACATTAACCTTGTTTATTTAATTTCTTCAAATATAAGGGTGATAATATTTGGTGGCAAAAGTTTGAAAAGTGAAACGAACATGCAGTGATTCGACCCAAGTCGCAAAACGAAAAAAAAATAGTCCCTCAGGGTTAAAGCTATTTTGGACTTAAAAAAAAATTCAGAAACCGTATTTAAACTACATATATACTTTATTTAAAACATGTTTTAGTCCAAAGGGGTTATTAGACCCCAAATGGAATTCGGCGTTGATTCACTATTAACAGCTTATCACTTTTCAAATCACTGCTACCAAATATTACCGGACTATATTATTTTTAAAGAAATTAAATAATGAAGAATCTGCATGCATGTATGTATGCATGGCTCCTGGCACTGTGAAAAAACGATTCCTAGAGGTATCAAATTTTGAATAACATAGTTTCCACCCGAACATGTGTAACCCGGTTTCAACCCGAACATTTGTAACCCGAATTTCTAATTTGTTTTATTATTTGTTTTACATTTTGTAAAACTTTAACGAATTTTTTCTTAACAAACTCAACGATTTGAAAGCAACCAGTGGGAATGTTGTTCGAAATAATATTTTTTTCCCTCAGCGCGCGAGACTGTTGATATTCAGAAAAATGCACAACACTCGTATTTCAATTTTAATTAACAAACTCGGCTCTATGAAAGCAATGTGCTACAGCAGCCGGAAATAAAAATACAGTCAAGTTTAAGTTTTCAAGCGCCAGCGTGTTGTTATTGAGTCAAGCCCAAGATACTTCTAAATTTAATCTGGAATGTTAATGAGTAATAAACTAAGCGATTTAAAAACAATAAAAACAGTTCTTATGGATTTTTTTCTTACTTTTTAATGCGATTGATTTAAATAAACATGTATTAACATCATGAGATGTCTAATTAGAAATACTTGATGTTTTTATGAAATTACACTATCTGGACGCATGAAAATCATTACACACTTTTCAGTTTTTATGATTACTATATTCTAGTTTTCAAAGAAATAATATGGCGAATATAAAAATATGTATCGCAATCTCCAACACTCTCTTGGGAATTCGAAAGATATGCGGTTTTTAAGTATTTTGGGATTTTGCTGTTGAACTGAATTTTATGCTGCGTAAGTGCGAAAAGTCATAATGAATAAATAAAATTAACAAATAAAAAGTTTTTAATAAAAAGAAAAAAAGACACATGTTTCTTAGTAAGCTGTTAGGCAGCTTACTAAGAAAACTGAATATTGATATGATAAACTGAGAAATGACTGAAAAAAATTGTAAAAATACGAGCCAACACTTAACATTGTGTCGGGAATTCTAAACATATACTGATATGAATAATTCAAAATTCAATTTCATTCAATTAAATTTCAAAATTTTTTGATTTTGTGGTTGAACTTATGATTTTGTAGTTAGTATTAAATGCGAGAAAACGATGCTTAATAATAAATTTTTTTTTAAAAGCTTTACTATTAAGCAACATTTTCTTCTCACTTACGCCATATACAATTCAACAGCAAAATTGCAAAAAGTTTAAAAGCAGCAAACGTTTAGAATTCCCGACACAATATTAAGTGTTGGCATAATATTTTTTCTTTCCCTTCCAGTCTTTTCTCAGTTTATCATATCAATGTTCAGTTTTCTTACTAAGATAACTTGCAAAGCTTTTTATTATTATTATTATTATTATTATTAACGTTTTGTGAGAGAATATTCCGGCAATAGCCATTTGCTAGCCGATGTTAAACCACGCTATTTAAATTTGAGGCAGCTTAGTTAGGTAAAATTTGTGTAACCTCCGCCTATGATCTCTTTTTAAAAATAAATTTAGCTTATTTTCAGCCTAAAATTTATAATTTTATTCAGCTTAAATCCAGCCTAAAATTTATAATTTAAATTTATAAGCAGCCTAAGAATTTTATTGTAATATCCAAAAGTGGCAAAGTTTTGACTGTAGGCACAAGCTGTGCCTTCTGTCAAATTCACACTTAAATAAAAAAAAGTTTATTTAAAACCTTCATAACAATTTGTACTTTTTCAGGCGGAGAGATAGCTCGCTTATGACCTAAATAAAAGCTTATAACAAAAACTGCGTGTTGAAATTAATACACACACACACACACACACACACATACACAACGACAATCCATCCCTAAAATAGATTGCCTCTTTATTACTTTATTGGCATGGTGGTAAAAGAGCCGGTTGTATAGCCTTGGATCCGAGTTCGAATTCCGCAGAGTAAGAGCACTTAGAATACTGTCGAGCAGAATGTCTTCTCGAACAGATGGTAGAGTAAGAGGGATGGGAAAACTATGGATTTTTTTCATAATCGGAACGTAGCTGGGCAAACTCGTATTGTCATCTATATGGTATCTAATGCCTACCAAAGTCAGAGGTAATCCTTACTTCTTGGTCGATGTTAATCAAAATTATAACTTGAATTAGCAACAGATTCCTCTATTTTTTTCATTTTAATTGGGTACCTCCTCTCTCTATTCTAAAGGCAGCAGTAACGTTTCTGGACTGCGTCATTTCTAAATTAATCCTATCATATGACTTTTACATAAACATGATGACGTACCTAATTTGGAACTTGGAACTGAAACTTTCTCTTACTAAGCTCTCATATTAGATAACTACGCAAAATTACGCTACGCACTTGCTCCTCGGCCTAGACAGACTGTTGCTTGCTGCTTCTCGTGTTGTCGTTAAGTTATCAAAAATGTAAAAGGATCCAAATAGACAAGATTAGAGTACCAAGTGAACAGTGGTCGTAAATGTTAATTGAAATAAAAATGAACACTGAATCTGCCTCGGTTGCCAAGTTTGCTGTTTATTATGCATAAACATTTCAACTAAATCTACGCTATGAATATTTCTACATTATTACATCTAAGTCTACAACATTTTGTCCTCCTAAACAAGATACCAAAAAATGTTATTTTTTATTCCTCTCTCTTTCTATTTTTTTATCTATCTTATCTCTTTCTATTTAAACGTGGACGCAAACAGCAATCATTACGAGCAATTCCAAGACTTATGATAATTGGACATCAAAGAACAAATTTAGGAAGAGGATTTCTACTTTTCGCGAGGATAAGCCAAACACTAACAGTCCCCCCTGGGACGCAAGGCTTGATTGGTCCAATCGGCTTAAAGCAGTGCCTGTTTAGCACACAGCCAGAAACTTACTGAAATGAACGATCTTGTTATTTTGTATTAGTTTAATTCACGGCCACGAAAGAAAAATGTTACTTTTATGCCAAATTTTCAAAAAGAAACATTAGCGATTAAAAGTCAAAATAAGTTAGTAGATCGCAGGGTACTTCCATGATTTTCCATACACAGTCGCGAATTCTGCTCAAGTAAATTAATAATTTATTTACCTAATTCTATTTAATAAAAGAATACACTAGTTAATTATATTTATTGTAAATAAATACTTACTTTTACTTGCTGTAATATAATTAATTGTTGTGTTACTTTATTGATTAAAAACTGTGGGAGGAAAAGTTTCCAAATGCATGCATTACTAACATTTTACAATGGACATTTAGTCAAATTATCATAATCTTAAAACTATTCTTTTTTCTCCTCTCTTAACTAATAATAATACTAAAAACAGTGACGGAAGAGGAAGGAAAAAGAACTAGCAATGTCATAATTAGATTTTAGCTTAAATCATATGCAATGCGAAAACGAGCAGCCCGTCAAACAACTATTTTTTAGTTTAAGAAAAATAAATATCTGCTGATATACGAGTATGAAGAACAAATAACAAATATAGATAGATTCTACTTTTCGCGAGGATAAGCCAAACACTAACAGTCCCCCCTGGGACGCAAGGCTTGATTGGTCCAATCGGCTTAAAGCAGTGCCTGTTTAGCACACAGCCAGAAACTTACTGAAATGAACGATCTTGTTATTTTGTATTAGTTTAATTCACGGCCACGAAAGAAAAATGTTACTTTTATGCCAAATTTTCAAAAAGAAACATTAGCGATTAAAAGTCAAAATAAGTTAGTAGATCGCAGGGTACTTCCATGATTTTCCATACACAGTCGCGAATTCTGCTCAAGTAAATTAATAATTTATTTACCTAATTCTGTTTAATAAAAAGAATACACTAGTTAATTATATTTATTGTAAATAAATACTTACTTTACTTGCTGTAATATAATTAATTGTTGTGTTACTTTATTGATTAAAAACTGTGGGAGGAAAAGTTTCCAAATGCATGCATTACTAACATTTTACAATGGACATTTAGTCAAATTATCATAATCTTAAAACTATTCTTTTTTCTCCTCTCTTAACTAATAATAATACTAAAAACAGTGACGGAAGAGGAAGGAAAAAGAACTAGCAATGTCATAATTAGATTTTAGCTTAAATCATATGCAATGCGAAAACGAGCAGCCCGTCAAACAACTATTTTTTAGTTTAAGAAAAATAAATATCTGCTGATATACGAGTATGAAGAACAAATAACAAATATAGATAGATAGCATTCACTCAGGTATACCCTACGATGCACATGGTTCGTACACATTTTTGCACATAGAAATTAAGTACTTTTAAGGTACCATTAATTAATAAAATCCCTATCAACAAATGGAACTGAATAATTCAATTAAACTTACCATCTATGCCTGAACTTCACTTTTGTAATACCATCCTAAGAATAAAACAGATCTATAAGTAGGATGCATTATATTAAACATAATTTAATAAACTAATTATAAAAAACTTGACAATAACATCAATTTTGTAAAATTTATCAAATAACATAAATACTTTACACTTATAATAGTTGAACATATTTTAAAGAATATTAGTGACGTTTTATTTAAATTTAAAAAATCGTTAGCTTTATGTTGATTTTTTTTCCTTTTATGTTTCATTTGGTTATGTACTTATTCAGTCTAGAGGTTTAATAAATAGCAGACAGATTTTACGTGAAACGGCATAGGTTAAAATGAGAAGTAAAATCATAATCAGCATGATCTGTGACAAAAGACTGGCTGTTGCCACCGCTGCTGCTTGCTTAATGAGAGACCTGCTCATCAGAACAGATCTGAATGCCTGATGTTGGCATGGTTGGTAAGTTTTGAAAGTTTGGCCTGCCTGATACAGTTAGTGCCCTAGCTTTGTATAGAGTTCCTAGAGTTGTAACCCAGTTAAGATACTTTAAAGTTCCAGTAAGCCACTAAACCACAGCTGATAAGTAGTTTTGCATTGTTATAAGTCTAGCTATTTGTAAGGAATAAGTTTTACGTTAATTTTTGCATTTTTGTATCGGATCTTGTGACCATGGTAAGGACTAATGAAAGGCAACAGTTCGCTTTAACATGTAGAGATAACTTTTAAGGGTGAGCAATAATTTACAAATAATTAAATTAAGTAGCTTAGTCATTCTAGATTTACATGGTCACTATTAAACTTTACTTATTTTTTTAAATATTTGTTAAAAAAGCATTATTAAAATCACAAACTAGTAACATTTCACAATTTAAAACACACGTAATTGATTCTTACACAATATTATGATAGTTATACATTAAAAGCTACAAAACATTTATGTTTTGCAAACACAGTACATAATATTTACACATAATATTTATGAGTCTTTTTTGATTAAAACATATAAATTTCCTTCTCTTTAAGCATCTTTTCAAAGAAATTTGTTTCCAATATGCAAGCCAATGTTTTCACTAGTTTCTGCTTAATCTCCTAACTTGCCAATGTCTCCACAATAAACCTATGAGGTTTCACTTGATCTGGTAAACGTTCAGTAGTCCAAAACAACTGACAGACGTGATGCAAATTATTGCCATGTCTGAAATTAACTACAAAGTATTATAAACGCTTAAATAACCTCGTCATTTAAACAGAATTTAGAACATAAAAGCACTTCTTATGCTAACAAAATCAACTACAGCTCGTGGTGACGTAACTTAATATATCCAAATTAAAAATGTGAGTCAAAGACTACTCAGCTTATAAGTTGGTTTAGTAACTCTACCGTAGTAATACATTCAAATGTCGGCAGCGATAACGCAAAGCCGAATAATTACAAATTACCAGAGCTTACAAAAACTAATGCAACGTACAAGCAGACGCCAAAAACACGCTCTGTCTTACAATCCCCAAAACCTCAGTTTGAATACGGTCTAATCAATTTGCAATGGCGAGGAAATGGAAAGGAGAAGTTATAGCAAAGGCTGAAATTATACATAACTAGTTAATTTACATAATAATATCTGTACATATCTTTGAAGAATAATTTGCTTTCTCTTTATGTATTCAGTTTCCTTTCTCAATAAATTTTCTCTTCATTTTAGAATTTTTGGATTTAATTAAAGATTTCTGTAATTCTAAAACACTACATGTATTCAGAATATATAGAAGCTGGTAATTTTATTTCATTAGCAGCATGAACACTGAGAATAACTATGAAATGATATACAATCAGGGCCGGTTACAGAGCCAGTGTGGCAGAATTTTAAAAATTTAGCGATGCACAGGGCAACAAAAGAGAAATATTACTAATAATCAAATATCAGAATAATAAAAATATTGAAAATAAAGACTACCATCTGAACAAAACAAAAGAAATACACAGAGAATCGCGATCTATATATTGATAATAAGTACTAGTTGTTTTAAAATTGTTCGCTATATTACACTGATCAGCTGAATTTTGAACTTTCGCGTAATACCTGGGTAAACCTGGATTTCACTTTTCCTTCCCTTTTTCCACCCTTTCTTCATTTTTTCCCTTGTATTTTTCTTTTTCTTTAGTGGTTATCTAGATATCTATAAATATCTTGTGAGCTTTCTTTTCACTTTTAGATTATCATCGTACATATCTCTTATAAATAGAGAAGCATAGTTAAAGGAACAACAATGGACAGAGGTGAAACAGGATATAATGTCAAGAAATTTATGGCCTTAAAAGTTTCCTACTGCAATTTTCGATAATAAATTTCAACATTAGAATTTTAAAAACTTTTATTTTCTAATTAGTTAGACATAGTTTACAAATTTTCATTTGAAATTAACATTAGATAAACTGTTTTGATTCTAAGAACAAATGCCCCGATTATTTGTTATGTGAGATGTGTAATTTCCTCTTTCTGCTAGAACATGTGTTGTTAATTTATACGATTGTTAACCAGAAGATCAAATAAAAAATTAGTTTAAACAACAATAAATGCTGTTTCAAATATATGTAAGCTTTGAATTTATAATAAAAAGTTAAATTAAATTAAATAAATAAATACTAAAAAACGTGACAATTTATTAAACCTATGAGTATGAAAACTTTAGAACCACTGAAAATTTCAAGATTATTGTAGGTATTAAAAGATGTTCTTCCCATATTATATTACGTATTCTACTGAATAAACATTACTGTATTTCTTGCCCCCTAGTATTAAAGAAAGAAAGAAAAAAATCTGAAAGCTTTCAGATTTTATGTTACTTCCAAAGGGGCGTTTTTTTAAACGTTGTGTGCGTTACTGTTATTTATTAAATTCAACTCAACAGCAATATCACAAAATAATTTAAAAAGAAGCATATCTTTAGAATTTCCGATACACAGTCTCGCGCGGTGGAGATAAAAATGTTTTATTTTTCAGTACACTGTTGCCATTGCTCGCTTTGAAATCGTTGAGTTTGTTAAACAAATATTCATTGTAAATCAAATTAAATTATATTGTAAATCAAATTCCAAATTTTGGCTTACAATTTAAAATAACTTAATGTCTCTACAATTTAATTTCTTTAAATATAATGAAGGGCTCTAATATTTTGTGGCATCAATTTGAATAGTGAAACGCCGTTAAAGAAAACATATAGAGGCATAGACGTGTTTTATCGCATCCCTATTTCACTTAGAAAGGGCGTTCACGTTCTTATAGAGTATAAATTTTACGGTACTTTTAAAAAAAATTAAGTTACATTTGAATAAAGTTAATAAAATTAAAAAACATTTAATTTTATTAAACAAAAATGTTAGATTTAATAAAATTAAACTACATTTAATTAAAATACATTTTACCTGCGAAATAAATTAACAACATCTAATGCGAAACAGATGAAACGAGACCTCTTGTAAATGATCGTATGCTTTACCAAATGACACCACTCTGAAGGTTTGCTTTGCACGTGGGTGCGTAGAAGATTAAGTAAATGTTTTATGTTTCGTACAGTGGCACTTGGCAAAGGTTAGACTTTTTCGTTCCCTTCATCCGTAAATTTAACCAGGACAGAATTTTATATATTAAATGAAAACACTAATGAGCTATTAATGCTCATGAGTGAATAAAAGTAAAGCTAAAATGAACGAAAAATGAAACTACGTTTTATAATAGAATACATCTGAAATATTATAAAGATCTAAAAATAAATTATTATTATTATTTCTAGAAATTAAAAAATAAGTTTTATTGACACACACAAAATTAGTTGTCTGTGCAGTTGAAGACAGAAAACAGTTTTACCTTAGTTGCACTGAATAGATGGAAAACACGTGTACGAAGAGATGTTGAATTCATAATTCTGAATTGAGACATCCAATTGAAAAATCAAAGACTAATATTTAAGACCGTTCTATAATAGCATGCATTCTAATAAAAGTAGTCGACCTTGTTCCGGATAAGCAGATTAAAGGCCCTGAAAATGGAAATGAAACAATTTCAGAGAGGTAAATGGATATTTATTTTTAGTAACTGTTCAAAACCATATGGCTTACACATCTTCAAACATTTTACTTGCGAAATAAATTAACATCTAATGCGAAACAGATGAAACGAGACCTCTTGTAACGGTCATGGTTCATATCAGAGATGATGAAATTCCATTTAAAAGTCAATTCATGAAATTTTATTACTAGCAAGAGAAGAATTTTTATCTCACTGAACTCCCATCGTTTTCTGAAATAATCTTCTATTAAAACAATATTTATATGCAGAATATAAATATGGAAGTTAGGCTAAATGTAAATATGTTGTTTTCTGTCGCTCACGAAATTCAGAATTTCATTAAAAAGATAATAGAAAAATAAGACAGAAATTATACAAATGCATTTTTCTGAAAAGGTTAAACATATCGAAATGATAAAATTACTAAAACGTGACAAAAAAACGGAAGTTTTGATAACTGTACGATATCAATGGGGGAACAATTTGTAACACACTTTTTGTTCAATTCGATTTTTGAGCTGTTTTAGAGCTAAATAGGCATGCTGCACCTCATGAGAAAGTGACTACTCTCCGCGGCATCGAGCGTGAATCACAGGATATACTATAGCTCTCCTACTCATCGACATAAACCCTCCGAATGGCGCCGGGTGAATGACGCCTAAGAGACCTGCGACAGACTAGTGCAATTGTTTAGACTAGTTCATCTACACCTGAGAGACTGTAGTAAGTCATTGTCTGTCTACAAGAAGAAAAGATGGCGGGTTACGGTTGCTATAGTAACATAACTAGTATATTTCAAATACAGGCGAACCAAGGATTACTTTATCGTTATTTAGTTTTTGGCGACTGTTGGCTGAGGGGAAAAGAGTTATCATTCGTCTTCAAGACACCCCTAAGGAAAAGGGGTCAAGTCTCGTTTCTACGGCAACAGACAGCTGTAGAATAACGGGCGAGAGCTTTTCTTAAGACAGACAGACTGTAGTGACGCGCATTCCGATGTGGAATCCAAACTCTTGTTAGTATACAAGTTTAGCCAGTGTTAAGTTTTTAATTATATATGAATTGAACCCTTTCCTTATATCTTCCTCTACTAGTTCGCGTCGTAAGTGCTTAAAAAGCCATGATCAGTTTTGTTATATATGTGACAGTTTTACCATTTCCAGTCAAAGGATAAAGCATCAGTACATTTGTCAGGCAAGTCTATTTTGCCTATTGTAAAGAGAAAATTTATGGTCATGAAAAATCACGGGCCCCTCACAAAGTGTGCAAGCAGTGTGTTGAGAGTTTACGGACCTATCATTTGGCAAGAGACTAAAGATTACACAAGTGACTGTTACTTTTGTATAGTAAAAAACGGCAGAATATAACACGAAAAAGGAATGTACAATAGAGTATCCTCTATCAGCTATAACGCCCAATGCCTCACTCAACTGAACTCCCAACAGCAGTTTTCGAAGAATTATACCATCTTTAGAAATACCAGAGCAAGATTTTAGTGAATATAGAACTGACCTCAAACGAGGAAGATTTTAAAGCAGAAGATGATTCCGTTAGTAAGGGATTTGACCCACATGAGTTGAATGCATGGCACGCGATTTGGGACTGCCCAAAAAAAGCTTCATAGCTGTTAGCATCTAGACTACACGAGAAAAATCTTGCTTGAAAAAAAAAGAGCTCATGTATTCTACTTTCGTTCAAGAGAAAATGTGTTTCTACATTACTTTCAAAGTGCACGTATTACCATAACATACATGGTTTAATGGAAAGGTTGAGAATTTCACCTTATAACTTTTATTGTTTGTTTGGCTCATTTTAATCAAGTATGACAGAGCACATCAAGTCTTGCTGAAGAGAATGATACCTTCGTAGAGGACGTTTTACAGGAATAAAGTCCTAATACAGGTTCAACAGGGTGTCGAACCACCAATTCCCGTTCAGCAGATTTATGCACCTAACTAAACTAGGAGATTTATGTAAATAGGTTTCTCGACCTTTCTAAATTGTATTAGTTACCAATTTTTAAAGATGAATTTGCATAATTTAAAATATAAGTAATAAAATATATATTTCGATCATTATACAAACAACTAGATCACAACAAATCCTGCAACATCAGTAGTCTTATCCACTTGATTACTGGGATCTCTGTAATTCAATGAACCGCAACGTAAGAGCATTATGAATCAGGTACTTCAAACTACGCGCTCCTCTTTCAGAAATTATCATATTAAAGTATGCAACACACACATATAACTGAAATAATACGCACTGGTTCAATTCAAACACAAGCAAAGTAGAAAAAAATCATACACTAAGCATAAAAAACTATACAAGATCATTTCGAATGTTTGAAAAGATGAACAACAGATCTTTGACTTTCACAGAGAAACAATGTTCCATCAAAACGAACTGGATCCACTGATGCGCAAAAGATAATAAAATTAAACAACGAAACCGATAGCATTCGAATGTCCATTAACAGAAAATAAAGCCGTCAAACGCTTTCGCAAATTCGTAAGCCTACTTAATTTAGAATACGTTCCAAATACTTACTTCTTTTTAGAATGAACTCTTGCAGATATAAATTTAACATGAAGTAGTATGAAATTATCAGAGCTTTCAATGGTTTGCTATACATGAAAATCGGAGATACTTAATTTAGAAATAACAGCAAAAATAAAAATATTCGAAAGAAGGGCGGAGAAAGAAGAAAGTAAATTCTATGCAAAATAGCATCAATGGTCCTATATTTGCAATGCACTTAACATTTATTAGGTTAGACTTTCACGACTAGCATTAAAGTTTGGAATTTGAACTCTATATCAACTCATCAGCACAAGTGCTCCTTACTGCTGGATAATTTCTATTATCGATGAGATTTGAAACTGCGACCTTGTCGGCTTGACCTTCTGACGTTAACGTTTTCCATTTAGCTGACTGGATATGTTCTTGCCTAGCCCTTTTATCTGAAGTGAGGCATATTCCGGTCACACGTAAGGATGATAAAGACTCACATCAACCCTTACATATCTAAGAATTCTTAGATAATCACCGTCGTTATGAGCAGACTCAAGAGGAGATTTTATTTCATAATCTCCTTTTTATGTGAACAGAAACTGAGTTACCAAATCCAGCAAGCGACTTCGAACATTTTCCAGTAATCGACTTGACTTTGCAATGTAACGCTTGTATTTAACTATTTTAAATGTTAACTCTACTTCAGTGAAGACAGTCAGGATCGCCCCGTCTTAATCTTCCAGCGAAGTAACACCGAACACAGAAGAATGTTTAAAATAAAACTTTTTATTAATTCTTCAGACTAACAATTTACACAACATGTGTATTAACAAAACGGTCTCAACTATAGTGGGATTAATAGAAACAAAAGTAAAATTAAAATTTAAGTATTAAATTATGAAATTCATAAAATAAAGTGAACCTTCAAGCTTTGGCTCAGGCCTTCAATTTATGCAAGCAAACACGGCTACCAAAGCCAAAATCAAGTGACTCCAGAAGCTGGCAGATTCGACACGATCAGCGAATGCTGCCAAAAGTTCTCTTTTAAGAACTCTGTACTTACAAATATTTACTAATTTGCATCCTGATGGGAAACGACGGAAGTAGAGGTGACAATAAAGGCAAAAATAAAAAGATAATTTGTTAATAAACATAAAACCTGCGCAGTGATGATGTTAGCACTTTTTATGTAATATTTGTCGACTGTGCCTCTTACAGACTTAGACAAACTAGTCTATAACTGCTCTTTTTATATTTTTTTAAACCAAACTCACAATGCGACATAATATACTAAATAATAATAACATGGCATTCAAAATAAAAACAAACTAATTTTACTAATTTTATACGAATAGTTAAAACTTGCTTAAAATTTTGCAGATCCTGGAAGTAAATTTAAAAGAAGACTGATGTTATGTAACAATCATCGGTTTATACTGGTTACAAGCCTTCGTATTTTTGTTATCAATAATGTAATTATGTTGTAGATTCTCGCAGTTTTTCCTCATTTATTATGTAATTTTAAAAGAAATACTTTCTGCTATTAACATCAAGATTCCAGTTAAATGCAAAGGTATTCGCGGGACCATTGATGACACTTAGGGATTACATTTGGTCTTCAAAATTTACAACCACTATCTGAATGAAGTTAAAGGTGGCTGAATTAATTTAAATTATTTTTAATTACTTTCGCGTCTATAATGAATCCCTTATTATCATTTTTATCTTAAGCAACATAAATTCTCCATAGAAATATGTGAAAACTAGTTGTTCAGACAAACTAATTAAATTAAAATTCTGAATAACTGCTTACTTTATAACGTAATATCATTCAAGACGAGATTCACAAATATGCAGCAGAAATAAATTCAATAATGAAATAGTACAAGAAAACTAGAGAGAGGTTCTCATATAAGCGCAGTACAATAGGCAAAAAAATATTCCCATATAAGGAATAAATATCTCCCCCCCCCCCCCCCCCCAAAAAAAGGGGGGGAGACATTTAAGTCTTAAGATTATAGTCTTAAAGAAGAGTTTATTAAAAATTTAAGGAAAAGTATTAAAGACATTAAAAAAGTGTAACATGTCACATAAACTTAAAAGTGTGACATATAAATTGCACCACTAGTATTAGGAATAAACAGCACTTAATAAAATCACAATAAAATTGAAAATGTTTTATAAAAACTAGCAGTTTTATTGTATGATAAACCCAAAGGAATCTTAATTTATATTAGTTGGATATATCATTAAAACATAAAATGGAGGTTTAAATTATTCAGAAATGCTTTTATTGCTTTTCAGTTGCTCATTTGTTAACAGCTCAAATTCAAGAGATAGACTTAATTTTTGCTGAATGGCTACGGCTACATTCTTAGAATCAACTATGCGTGAGGGTGCGTGGAAGACAAATTAAAAATCTTACGTAGTGGCGATACTTGCTGCTGTGGATAT